TTTGGGTCAATTTATTCGCTTTTTTTCGACGTACATCGAGTTGATTTTTCATATAAATTAAGTGATATGGATACGGGGATGGTGTGTTTTACGACGTGTTATCTTAATCCATTAACAGCTTCCAATGGAAAATAGCAAATGACAATAATGGCCAGTGACTTTGTTCGCCAACATTTATTACACGAGGGAAAAATAGACATACGAGGAAGTTGTCAGTGAGTTGTTTTTTACACACTCCAAAATTGGATAAATCATTTGAGCTCCTCTCACTAATTTATGGTTTTCACACACTGATGTGACCAAACAGGAAAAAAAAACAATCCAAATCTAATTTTTGAACAAAAAACAAAACGATCAGTGATTGCGTCAGTTTGGAGCATGTGAGCATGTGGCAGCAAAGCGTTTCAATTTGCGACGCACGTGAACCAAATCGAACATATATACACCTTCTTTTTTCTGCGTTAGAAATGTTGTTTGGATATTTTATCGAGCAAACAAACAATCGACGTTGCCAAGCTCGTCTCTCTCTCTCTCACTGCAATTCTAAGCCACATATGGTGGCACACACCATCAAATATGTCCGGAGGAACATAACTGCTTGGTTTGCTTGTTATTGCTATTCAAAAAGCGTTAATCGAAATGAAAATCCAGCTCACACAACACATAATCGGAATTGGCGTGCCAAACACAAAAGAAACAACGAAAAACAGCGACAAAGATTTATGACTAAACGCAACGCAAAAATGATGATTACGTTTACGCGATTGTGTGTAATGGGCGTTATGCCGAATGTAAACACAATAACCTCAATGAAAAATGCAAATTTTATTTATTGTAATGAAATACAATGCGAGCAGTGACAATATTGTCGCTTTGTTTGTGTGTGTGTGTGTGTGTGTATGAAGCGCATTCTCATCATCATCATCATCATATCGCCATTTCGGCTGGGTTTTTTTTGTTGCTCGTTCGAGTTCATTCAATGTGATTTTGCAGTGAGCTATTCTCTCGAACGATATACACATATATTGTCAAGAGAATAAAGCGACCGTACGATTGTATGTGACTACATTTATGCTGAACACATTTGGCACGTTTCTTACTCAATGGTCGAACTCGTAAATCATGTGAGGCACCGCGTGAATATAGCGGCAACAGCGATGGTGGTTGTGGTGCTGGTGGCGATGACGACGTATTTGGTGAAACCAAATGAATCATGATAACGTTGAGTGAAGCACGCGAACTACAGCAAATATAAACCGCTCAATTGTATACAACATTCATATTCATTTCTGTGTACAAAAGAATATGAAAACAGGTGATTAAGTACAAAAAAGCAAGAGAAATAAATAAATAAATAAAGTAAATAGAGAAAAGAAGGCGAGAACAGATAAATCGTAATCAAAATTTACAACAATGCTAGACTGTAGCTAGCGACTGGAGCATAGCCGCGAGATTTAAAGAAAAGAAAATATTATGACAAACGTGAAATGAAATGAGACGAACCGACTTCTCTATTTGTCATTAGATCGCGAGAGACAATAATGTGCATTGATCGAATAGACGAGATAGCGTTACGTAAAATTTGCGGCGATTATGAAACAAACGGCTTGTTTGTTTAATGCAATTGGTGATTCGTTCCATCATCACATTTAAACCGTTCCGTCAAATCGAAACTGATACCGACCGAACCGACCGACTGTGGACCGCATTACGTTTTCCGTAATTCAATTTACGGCCACACAAACAATTCATTTCAGCTTTTTTCTTCTTCTTTCATTCCGTCGGTTGATTGCACACAGAAGTCTCTCCGTCCGTAACAGGATGTGTCGATAAGTATTCTGCTTAATGAACTATGAACGAAGAGAGAGAGAGAGAGAGAGAAGCGCAACAAAAAAACGTCATCCATGACAATCAAATATTCAACGCAGCGAGCGAAAAAAGAAACGAAACAAGAGCTAAAAACTATGAGCAATTACAATTATTGATACCCTGTGGGAGAGCGAGTGCATGCGGAACATATGTTCTCTGGAGCGAGATAGAAGAAGCAAATAATTTGTGTGTTGTTAGTGGCGATGTTTGAATTTTTGCATCGATACACCGATTAAGTCTATGACCTTGAACAAATGTGTTTTGTGTGTGATTTTCATTTGTCTCTCACTTGTTTGCTCCCATTCTCGGTGTTTCATTCGCTGGGCGGCTGATTCATCATCGCATTGCGCTCATTGGCTTTACATTGTTAATATCGACGTTGTTGATGTGTTTGCGCTCTTTTTCGTATTCATTTCATTTCAGTTCGTTTGTTACAGCCAATCATCATGTACACATATCGAAGCGAACAGAGTATAACATGTAATTGATGCACCACAATCGAACTAATTGATTTCCTTTCTTCCTGTTTCTCTCTAACATCTATTTGCGTACCAAGCTAATGAATGGATTGCTAGTTAAACCCTTCGTAACCTAGCAAAACTGAAACGCGCAAAACAACCCACCGAAAGCCTCACAATCATTACTTCTCGGTATAATTCAATTGAAAGTTGCAAATCGATTTGAAAACTACGACTTTTTCCCCATTGCCGGTTGCTATTGCTGAGCTGGCGCGTCTTAGCACCAGCATTTATCCATTCTGTAATGGGGTTTCTTATTGCTGTGAAAAAAAATGTGTCGATTTTTCGCAAATGAAAGCATATTTTTTTTCGTTTGGATAGGAAACGTATTTGAAAAGCAAAAAAGACACATTCGTAGCATTAATGCTACATTAAAATGCGGGCAAAATGGAAATGCGGTGAAAAATATTCAAATTCAGTTCGGGCGCAATGATCGATTCGAAATTGAATTGTCATCTACAGTTTATGTAATTTTCAACTATCGCTGCTATTGCCATTCGGTTGGGTTCGATTAAAGCTTGGCTCAAGCTTCGTGTAGCACGACTTAAACGGAATATGCTAATTTGTAAATCATTAATATTCGCATCATCAGGCATTTAAATGTGCTCAAAGTATGTGTTTTTCCTCTCTCGTACACATCTCGTTTGCCGTTTCGCACGCGTGTTAGTTTCCATATAATTTACAACGGAATGAGAAATGAGTCGTGTCTGCTTTTTTTTTCGTTCACTATTTTTCTCGCTCTCGTTTGCTTGGGTGAATTAAAAACCCAAGTAATACGTACTTTGGGCACTGCCATTAGCCCAAATGAATACAATAGCGAAATTACTTAACAAGTCTTATCAATCATGCAACATTCCATTTAATTAATTGCGGAAAAAAAGAGACAATGGCGGTGAGAAAGAGAGAATAAGATGCGAACCAATTTTCCGCGTTCGAACCATTTGCTGTGTGTGTGGCACGTTTTGACTACGAAATTTATTGATATTTTCATTTGTAGACAGCGCGTCCTTTGTCATCCACAAACATTTCGGTTAACATGAAAGCAATAAATCAACAAAACTACATTTTTTCGCGTGCTCCATTCCAAATGTATAATAAATACATCGAATGAGTGCTAAACGTTCTAAATATATAGGACTACAACTAAATTTCAAAAAGCGAAGGCAAAACGAATGAGAGAGACAGAGGGAAACGATGTTTCGGCTCATTTGAAAATTTAATGTTGCCTAGTCGAGGCAAAAATACACATTATACAGCAAATAGCGCAAAAGACGAAGGAGAAGAAACAAAAAAAAAAAACAAAATATTACATTGCCAATAATAAATAAGACCAATAAAAAAATGAGAGTCTCAGCATTGCAATATGGAATAATTTCCGAACGAGAAGAGAGAGAGAGGGAAATTATATTGCGTTCACGTCATCGCTACGTGATTTGAAATAATTTTTCGTACTTTTCGTGGTTACTTTTTCATTGTTGTTGTTGTTTGATTTGGTTTTGGTTTCTATATTTATCCATCCACCGCGTTCCGTTCGAAATCTTCCGAAGACAAGCGATCGAGTGAAGTAAGAGTGGAGAGAGGACGTGGAGCAAAATAAAAAGCGAAAACAAATGTTGAATAAAATATTTTATTATGGATTTGTACTTGTGTACTTTGATCGAAGCGTGTTTCTTACAACGACACATTCGCACTGGATCCCAATTGGAGATGAAAACTAAACAAATCGATATCGCGCGTTCACAATTGTTGTTGAAAAAAAAACGTGTAAAGTCGAGTGGATTAACAAATGTTCTGGGAGCTCATCGCGAGACAAACACGAAATTGAATTATTGATAAACATTAATTCCAAATGGAATTACGTATCAATGTGTGCTCGATTAAATGTGACAACAACAAGAACAATCAGAAAGGAAGAAACAATCGAAAGAAAAAACAACCGAAGACGACAGAGATGAAGCGAAAGAAAAAAAAATTGCCAGCCCACACAATCGATTCAAATCAAATTCAACCGAAAACTGTATAAAAACAACCATCACCCAAATGTGAAACAATCAATGAATAAAAAAGAAAGTGTCGTTCAACTAATTTATATCGCGGTTGAGTATTTACGGAGTGATTAAATGACGGCCCGTTCGTTCGTTTGTTTATCGAGGGAATTTTTTTCATGCGCTGTCATTTCTATTTCAATTCGTTCGAAGCGAAACGTCTGCGTCACAATTAATTAAACCACAACATATATATCGTTTTAGTCAATCAGTTTGAATTCGATTTATAAATTCATTCTATGAATTGTTATGCACAACACCAGGCCGACACAAATTAGGGTGCAAAGTGGAATTTACTGATTTTGAACTACGTTTTATAATTTTCAACGATCGCTTTCATAAACATATGTGTTTAAAATTAATAAACCACATTAGCCATGCAGAGAATCAACGGGAGCATATAATCAAGCAATAAAAAAAAGCCCCGTGTACACTGTACACAAAACAAAACTCTCCATTTATCGATACATATCTTGAAATTGAATGTTTGCATAAATAATAATGGGAATGTTTAATTTAATTTTTGTACGCTTTTCTCTTTCACTCTCTTTTCTTCGACATTGAGCAGTACGTGGCGCACGACCTGGAAAAAATGTTCAGCTTAGTGAGGTAGACATCCGAAATCTATGCCTTAAGTCACGTGAAATATTTCTGTCACAGCCAATTCTGTTAGAATTGGAAGCTCCGCTGAAAATATGTGGTAAGTAGTTGTCAATTGGTGGTGGTGGTGTGTATGTGTATTTTTCAGATTGCCTCAATCATTAAATACCATCGATTTTCTATATAATCAAATAAAAGTGTAACCTTGATGTTCATACCGTTTGGAAACGATGACACGTGTGAGTGAGTGTTTTGAGTTACTGAATGAGTTATGATGTGAACGTGTATTCCCGGGAAAATCGATGTTAATTTATTCATTTTTGTTTTGTTGCGATGGCGATAGTGTTGCTGTTGAACTTGTCTAAAAATAATGAATAAAATTTTGTTACGATGACTGACCTACCATATGTTTTTTCTGACCAAGGACTAAAAACATTAATAATTTTTTTTCAACCCGTCCTCTGAACAAGAGCTGAAGAGAGACGTGATGTGTAAATGCTCTAAATTAAATATTCAAGATGTAAACAAGTTCAGCAGGAACATGCCGCAGCAACACGAGACCAATGTAATCCAATTTGCGCGACGAATTTTAAAACGCACGGTCGCCGGGGCGCACGTTTCCAAAAGGCGATTGACATCATTGTCGCTTTTATTTGACGTGATTAAACAATATTTTTTTGTCGCTTTTTCTCTCGTTTATTCTTTTCGGCCCGTCGACTATACGATTTCATGTTGTTAATTTTTTCGGTTGTTGTATGTTTGTAGGTGACATTCACGGACAGTATTACGATTTGCTGCGTCTATTCGAATACGGTTGCTTTCCGCCACAATCAAATTACCTATTTTTAGGCGATTACGTTGATCGTGGAAAACAATCACTTGAGACAATATGCCTGTTATTGGCATACAAAATAAAATTCCCGGAAAATTTCTTCTTGTTACGGGGGAATCATGAATGCGCTAGCATTAACAGAATTTACGGGTAAGTTGACATTTTTCTTCTCTTTTTGGTTTTCATGCGCTCGAAATCGCACCGGTCTAAATTGTGTTGTCTCTTAAATCGAATAAATTGATCCAAACTTGGCGATGCTCTCGGTACAAAGGCTGACATTTATTACGATCAATTACGCAAATTGATGGTGCAATTAATTGAAACGAATATGACAGTTTCGTTGCAGAATGACAAAACAAAAAACAATGTACCGAGACACATTGAACGCCGTATTTTTAGCACTGCACAACCAATTAATTCATTTTTAATTGAAACGTCTCTCGCTCGATGTATCGAAAATATTATTCGCTCAAAGTTAATGGTTTGTCAATGTTTGTCCTCGTTTCTTCTTTTTTTTCTCTCTCTCCATCCGTTATGTCTACACATCGCTCTCCTGGCACGTTCATAGATTTTATGATGAGTGCAAACGTCGCTACACTATAAAGCTATGGAAGACGTTTACAGACTGTTTTAACTGTTTGCCAGTTGCTGCTATTGGTATGTATGAAAGCGTGAACATCATGCTTGTTTTTTTTTTTCTCTCATTAAACTCAAAACACCAAACTAATTGGGCATCCGCTAATTGCTATACTATAATTCACTTCAAACAGTTGATGAGAAAATCTTCACGTGTCACGGTGGACTCAGTCCTGATCTTGCTTCAATGGAACAAATTCGTCGAATCATGCGACCAACAGATGTACCAGACCAGGGTTTGTTGTGCGATTTATTGTGGTCCGATCCAGACAAAGACACGATGGGATGGGGTGAAAATGATCGTGGCGTTAGTTTTACATTTGGTGCAGAGGTAAACGAAATCAATTCAATTTCATACACAAACATATCATTCCAATTGAATACATTTCTGAATTCCATCAACACTGGCTAACTAAAATGGGTCTGGTTTCATTTGTACTATCTGCAGGTTGTAAATAAATTCCTTCAGAAAAACGATTTCGATTTGATATGCCGAGCTCATCAAGTTGTAGAAGATGGATATGAATTCTTTGCCAAGCGACAACTGGTAACGTTGTTCTCAGCTCCAAATTACTGTGGTGAATTCGACAATGCAGGTAAACTCATCGGTGTTTTCAGCCATTTTCATTCCGTGCACTTTTTTCTTAGCTCACGAAATTTTGAAAAACCATTTTCCACATGATCTAATCATTTTTTCCCGAATGTGATTGGCGTAATGCTATGTCACTGTTCAAATGTTTTCAACTTTTGTTTTGTCCGACGACAACGACAACCATGATGATGACGTTTGGCGATGTGCCCGTTCCATGACTCGAATCTTATTGCCTGTGCTGATGATGATGAACTGAAACAAAAAAACACATGTATGGTAAATAAACAGGAGCCATGATGTCCGTAGACGACTCATTGATGTGCTCGTTCCAAATTTTGAAGCCTGCCGACAAACGTAGGTATGTGTATGGAGCCAACTACACTGGAAGACCTATTACCCCACCTCGTGGCGCTAATAATAAAAACAAAAAGAAATAAACAAAACAGAAAAAAAAATATTAATACATTTACAAATACACGAAACAGTTCTATTTTACACTTACAAAGATCATAAAATATTTAAACAACAAAAAACAGAAAACAAACCGAAAAAACACACACACTCACTCACTCACTCGATTTAAAACCAGAGAAAAGGAACATTCAACAAAAAAAAAGAAATGAGAAAGAGAGAGAATTATAAAAGAAATGCATAAAACACACTCTCGCTCGTATCGTTGTTGTTAAAATCTTTACTAAAACAAACAGAAAGAAAGAGATAAAGTAACTAAAGAACTGATAGCCGTCTATCATGCCAATTTGTGTTTTTTCTTCTTTTAATTTTTTCGTTGTTTTCAAATCCTCAAGATCAAAAGAAAAAAACACAACAAATCCCCATCCGTGTGCTCACTTGCGAAATATGTGTGCCAGTATATATACCTTCAATAATCTCAAAATCTCATCCATCGTTAAAATGCCATAAAAAACGAATACACACAAGCACACCTAATAACACACTACCATTGAAAAGAAAACGAAAACAAACAATACGAATCTTAAACACAGAATTGATCTGGATACACATGCAGAAAAACGGTCCGCTTTTTTTCAAACGGGCTTTAATTGTTGTTCAACTATTTTTTTCTAATCGAATAAAGTTTTTTTAATTGTTTCAAACTCAAATTGTTAATCCCGCTGAATCAAATGAATCGAATAAAGTTTAGTTGATTGTTTTTTTTTAAATATAAAATAAAAAGAAAAAAGCAACAGCAAAAAAGCAACAAATTTATTTGAGAATAAAAAATGCGAAAAAAAATTATCGATGTTTGTTTTCTGCATTTGTTTTGTGATGAAGAAAAAAAAAATTCCAATTGAATGGAAGCGCAGCGCTTTGTTTGCTGTTTGTTTTTGTTGCTTTCGATAAATATGATTCGCTTTCATTCGTCCATCGGTACGATAGTGATGATGATGCGCCGATTCCGATTGTGTTCTGATACGTGCCGATATTATTATATCTTATAGGCACTTATTAGTGCCTATTGAATAGAATGTCGATAACCTCTATGTCATACGAGTGAAAGAGACAAAGAGAACAAATCGATGTTTATCGACAGCTTCGTCCTTGCAAACTTTCCAATATTACAGCGAGAAAGATGAAAAACAGGCCGAAGACGAAAGAAAAACAAAAATTTTATGAATATTGATTCAATTCGATTTAATGCTGGCTACAGCCAGACACCGTTCATGCATTAAAAATGCATGAAAAGTGGATAGAAATGGCATACATCGCTCATTTTCTCTCAGCAAAATTGTGCACTTGGACACATAATTCGATGTATACAAATGCCATGGCACATTCGACGCAATTTCATTTGAGTTTGTTGCCATGCAGTTAAATCGCTCTTTTTTTACTGCTGCTGCTGCTGCTGCTGTGGAATCCGGCGCATCTCACAATTTCTTTTGTTATTTCCATTCATTTTTTTCTTCTACTAACTCATTACCAAGTAAATGGCATTTACATCCACTCAAATCAATTCGCACACACTCTCATATCACAAACAAAAGCCGCAAACACTTACGCAAAAATGTGCGACAACAACAATAACGAAACAACACACATACACATTCCTCTTTTTTTCCAAGTTTGTATCATCTTGTGTATCGTTCGAATCGGCTGTTTGTACCAAGTGTCTGTTTTGTTCTCTTTCTACCTAGTTTTTTTTTTCATTTGAAACTCACATAAAAATACAGTTGTTTTTGGTTCATTTTCTTCTTTGTTTGTGGTAAAATCGGATCTTTTTGTTCAGACATTTAATTGCTTTTGTTGTGTGTTTGTGTATGGCGATTTTAAGTTTTAAGATATTTAACCATATTCGGTTCATATGTTATTTGTTTCCCCCCGCCGGTTGTTGTTCGATTTACGTTTTTTTTTCATTTTGATTTCGGCGAAATTTGTGCGAAACGCCAAGGTAATCCGTTATTTTGTTGTTAGACATATATATCTATGTTTCTTCTTCTACTTTTGAATTTTGTTTTTTTTTATCCTCCTTGTATTGCCCATATATATTTCTTCTATTTTACTTCGGAAATAGATCACTATGAAGTCACATCTCTGTCAAGTCTTCACACAATTTACAAAATGAGCACACTTTTCGCGCCGAGAAATTTTTGCACCCATCTATGGTGATAGACGATTTGAAACGCGAATTACCAATATTTCTCATTTTTGTCTCGTCAGTGCATTTCTGCATCGATTCATCGACGCACACATACACACATTTCGCACACTCACACACAAATTTTTATGGACTTTGGTTACGGCTATTTATTTAAATTTAGAAATTTTATAATAACGACGAAAAAAGCATAAACAAACACCGATGATCGGCCCGATGCAAATTGTCAAAAATGCAACGAAAAACGGTTTTTTGTTGGATTAAATTTTTTCTGGCTTTTTACAAAACAAACGAAAATTTATACACGCGTCGTACCTTTTTTTCTGGTTGTTGTTACTGTATGCATTCTGTACAAATCTATTTTTGATTTAAAAAAAATTTCGGATCAGTCTTTTTTTGTTCAATCTCGTTTTTTTTAAAATCACAATCCTTGTTTAAATGTTGAATTTTAGAACAGTACAAATGGCCTCAGAGCTGAAACAGTCAGCCTGACTGTAATTTTTGTTTCCAATATTTTTATTCTAGTTTGAGTAGTGTTTTTGTTTATCTTAGTTGTTTTTTTCTTCTTTCGTTTGAAAATGGTAGTTTGAAATGTTATCGTAGAAATTTCTCGTGTTTTTTTTTCTCATTGCATTTGCGCACAAAGCAAAATACCAAAGATCAATCGAACTCATTTCAGTAGCTCATTCTTGCCATGCAGGCCGCTCTTCAGCCGCATTCATTTGAAAATCATTTATAATTTCTTTCTATTTTCTTCGTTCATCGTTCGATGAATCATCAATTAGTCAAAAATAATCGATTTTTTTCTACCCAGTAACGAGAATTTTCAACGATAATTGCTTTTATTTCAATCCCAAAACAAGCACATTCCAATCGAATTTTCCTTTTTTTTAAACACTCAGAATGCAATAGCAACAATAACCAAAAGAAAAAAACATAATCTATTTGTTTAGCGTCTGTTTTCTTCTTTAACTTAAAACATCCACTTTTCCTATCTAGTTTATTTGTTTATTTTGTTTTTCTCTTTAAAAAACACACACACATACAATATATTTTTTTATATATTAAATCAAAATTAAAAACAAATAAATATTTTTTCTCTATATGTATATTATCATAATCATTAATTGCTTTCCATTTGATTTCATTTAGATTGACAATGAATAAAAGAAAATAAACAAATCAATCCCCCCCACGCGGTTCAAATGAATTTCCATAACGCACAACACACAAACATGGCAGCAATAACTATATCCAATAAATGAAACAAACAAAACAAATAGAAATGAAACAAAGATTTAAAAAATCCAATGCAAAATCATTGTAATCGCATAATTGAGAAAAAGAAATACCCACAACAACAACAACAACAACAGCAACCACAGCAAATTTGAAAAAAAAAACTAAATTCACACTTACACACACAAACACCCAAGAAAAGAAAGAAAAAAAAAACCAAGCGTAATTCGTATGTGTCGAATTCAATCAGGCAAAAATAAAAGCAGAAAGCAAACAAAGTGAATTGTCGAATGAATGAGAGAAAGTGAAGCAAAGAACCAACCAAGATGATGAGAAAAGAACACTGTAAGCTAAATAAGAACAAAGCATTTGAACACTATGTTTCACATTAGAAAGCAAAAAAAGTAGAAAAAGAAAATAACGAAGAACATTGTACTAGAGACACAGACATATACACAGTCAATGAGATCGGCTGAACCGAGACACAAGGATCCGAATGGTGAAACTATTGCTATTAGCTGAAACTAATTTATGGAAAATCATTTCAGAAGATGAAACAACAACAACATTGTAACAAAGATACAAACAAAACAAAAACAACAAATATTAAATACTATAATTAATCTAACATTGATGAACGATATTTATTTGAAAATAAACTAATGAAGAAAAAAAACAATTGAAATGTTGTAGTAACAATTGTAATAGATGCAAACAACAACATCAGCAAAAATTAGAGTTCAGCAAAAATGGCAATTGTTGTGGACACATTCATAAATAATAGAAGAAGCATCCAACCAATCCTAACAGTCATTTGTTCCATAAAAATAAACATTTTTTTTTCTTATTTTCTTTTGCCAATGTTTTTTTCTCTAAAAAAATCATTTCTTCACATTTCGAAACAAAAATAAATCGCTTGAAATAATTTTGTTCATGAATTCAAATAAACAATAAGAAATCAATCGTGTCCGTTTTATTCAGTTTGCATTGACGCATTACAACACAAATAACATGTAAAACCACTTAAATAGCAGCAACAACACTCACACAGAGAGACAACAGCAACATGGAAATTTAAATTGAATGGAATAACAACAACAACAACAACAAATGAAACAAATCCAATTAATGGCGAAGAAAAAAACAAATTATTACGAGAAAAAAAAGTTAAAACTAATTCAACAATAAAAAAAAAAATATTATATTATGGAATAATTAATTATGTAATTCTATGTATTAGACGAAGGATGGACAAGTAGGAGATGAGATAAATAATAAATGAGCAAATAAAATAGGTTTAAATGAAAAACTGAATGAAACTAATAAATGTGTAGTTCACATGGCATTCATTGACACGTTAAGTAATAACAACAAAGTGAAAAAACGAAGAAGAATTATCGGGATCAGCACGAGCGCATGCATCAAAGCGATTATTGGCGCGCGGCTTTTTTCCCCTTTCAAAATGAAACCAAAACGAACCAAAACATCCAAGATATCCCGTCGTCATATAATATATCATTTTCGCCACACTAATCAATTTTTCCGATCGTTAGACAGTTCACATGACCACGACGAATTTCGTAACACAAACACTTCAATCGGGGTTTTCACAATCAGAGCAAGTGTATCCAAGGAATGGCCGTTTTTATTTTCTTGACACAAAGCGATAACGAATGAAATTTGAATGAAAAAATCGATTCAATGAAATGGAAAAACCGCAGAAAACTCTATTTAAAAGCAACAGAGTTCTGTTTTCAAAAGAATAAACACTAAAAACAACAATTTAGCCGATAATCAATTCAAAATAGTACATAGATTATGAGAATATGATGGGCATATTCTTCATGTTGTCGTTTATTTTGACAAAATTGCAAATTATTACTTGGCAACAACAACAACAACAACAAAATATACGTCTCATTCGTAATGACTACTTAATATCTCTGAATCAATATGCAAACACACAGAACAACAACAACAAAAAGATAAACTCATGAATTTACAACTACAAAATTAGTTTGAAAAACAACTGCATAAGAACTATAGCACCATCCATATACCAACAAGTAATTCACCTCTCATTACCAAAACAATGATGATGATTCAATGCTTCGGAGAATTTGAGAAGTAGAAAAATAAAAATTCGAACCATAAATTTTATGATTGTTTTGTTGTTCAGTGAACAATGTTCACTATTCACTTCTCATGAGAGATACAAATTATTTATTCTTGTTTGGATTTAAATTATAAATTAAATGAAGGAAAAAAATTCACAAAATCACACACACATCCATAACTACAAAATACAGGCTCATAGGATAATAATTACAGTAAACATTTATGCAAAAGAAGAAACAAAATTTATGGCATGGTGTGTACATGAAATTGTCATATCGTTTTATTCTGCACATTTACAACCTGTTGAGACGCGACAGTTTTTTCAGTCGAACTCTCTATCTTTCGGTTTCGTTTGTTTTTCATAATTGTTTTTTTCTTTTCGTTTCCTCCTTAATTTTTTAACAACAACAACAAAAACATACGATCGGAGTGTATCCGCTTCGCACCATTCTTCTATTTCTTTTCTTAGAATTATTTATAATTTCCCTCCCGTTGACGCGTTCATTATAAACAGACGAGAGAGAAATAAAAAAATCCATCAAAATGAAAATCTAGTTCGATTATTTGTATGAACTTAGGAAAATGATGCAAATATTCTTCTTTTAAATAAAAATAAAACGAGCGAAATAAAACTAAACAAAAAATGGATTTTTTAAAAACACAATCATTATTAGCATAATCAAACACTTTTTATTTAGTTCATGTTTAATTTTATTTTAATTTTTACAACAAGAAGATGATGATGAAATAGAAAAAATGAGAACTACAAATTGTACGATCGACACATGTGTAAATTGTATTCATGTAGAGACAACAAAAAAGAAACGGAAAATGTGCGCGAAATTGAAAGAAATAAAAAACACATTGAAAGAACAACCAATCAACCAATCGATTTGTTCCGGAAGAAACCAATTCGCTTCTCTTTTTTTTAAATCCATTTTGTGAGCAAAAGACGAGGAAAAATGTAGATGAAATATCAGTGAATCGGTGATAATGTGAGCGCACCGGAACGTCAGAGTTTTCTTATTTAACTCTCTGAACGAGACGACGAAGTTTTTCTTTCTCCTTTTCTCGAGCTGGAATCGATCATGTTCCAGAGTCTGGAATCCAGACACAAGTGTAATGGCAAGTATCGTTTTTTTTCTCTTCTGAATTCGACTCAAACTCAATTTGAACAATAAATTTTCGTGGTGATCCAAACTTCCATAAATGATCTTCAATCGTTTGTTTCAAAATCGTCAATTGATCATTTGGCACGGCGGCTCAATCGACGTCAAAATGTCTTTTTTTCATTTTTGTTATAGGACAATTTTTATATTCATTTTTCAATAAATCGTTTCAAAATTTGTCAAAAAAAAAATTGAAAGATCCCAAGAACAATAACAAAATAGTCTAAGTCAAGGATGAGAAGGACAGAAATGCTCTGGAGTGAAGTAGTTTCAGTTGATTTTTGGAATTTATGTTAAAACAATTTCTGCGAAATTAGTTCATGTCATCGATGAGAGGCGAGACACTAAAAAAAATGATAGAAAAAGGAGACAAGTTATTTTGACATTGAACTATTCTAACCGATTTATATTTATATGACAGAAAATCAATAAAGAGAATACGATAATAAAATGAAGAGATACAAACAAAAAATGAACAACAATAACAAATTGTATGTGAATGATTTCCAAACTAGAAAAAAAATGGAAATCCAAAATACGTCACATTTAAAATAATGAGAAAAAAAACAAACAAACAAAAGTGCAGAGAAATTAATACAACTTCTGTATGCATGTGAGTGCGAGAATGTGTGCGTGAGGTGAGTCTGTGAGAGTACAAGATTTAAATATGTATCTAATAAAATTACGACAACAACAAAAAAAAAACAACAACTTAGTTTTCGTAGGGTATATCTGGTTTATGAGCTGCCATCGCTTGTGTGCTTTTCATTCTATCATGCAACTGATTTTGCCACACTAACACTGGCCGCCTAGCGATCCATGCATTCGATGTGTGTATGCGTTATATAAAATCCACATCACTGATTCACACTGGTAAGGCGCACATGTGGCATTTTTCCCCTTATGACATTTACATTCGCAATGCGATACTAAACGAAAAAAAAACAAAAACCATTCGAACGCCAAAGGTATGTGATAATAATTCGCTCATATCAACACCTAATCATAATCCATGTGTCGTTGACAAATTTTCCACCTTTTTGCACTCTCTTTTCCAAAATGCGAAGCAAAAACAGAAATTAACACTATCAGCACGAACGCTTTGATCGCTCCGCTTCCATGCTAGTTTTGATCAGTTTGACATACCGGATAGGAACAAAAATAAGTTACTATATTAGCATGCAATCGCTGCCAGATTGTGCACCAGACAGCCTGTATATTTAAAAAGTAATTGAAACCACTCATTGTCAGTTAAGAAGAAAAACTACAACAAAAATGATCATTACATTGACAAAACAAACAAAATATATATTATTATTGGCTACTTTAGATTCAATACAAGAATTTAACAAAAACAACAACAAAAAAGACTAAGACAAAAATTCCTAAATTAATAAAGAAAAACTTCATGATGAATATACACGTTTTGGTTGCATTGATTTCTTTTTGTCTTTGTGTTCAGCTTCATCTTAACGCTGGCCGAACATCAAGACCATGCGCAAGAGGTATATATTTGATCACAACAATGGTAAGTGTGAAAACAAATGGATCCATAGCGACAAATGGACATTTCTCGGCCATTTGAATGCCATTCAAAGAACATTTAAACCGATATAACCAAATTGTTTGTTGTCAAACTTTGTCTCGCTCACGCCAACTTTCGCACTGATTCGTTCGTATACGAATTGCTGTTAGCGTAAAAGAGACTTTGTTCGCAGTGGACTCAGTTTAGATGTTCTTTGGTTTTTGGAATACATTTTTACAGCGAACTAATCAATTTTTGTCATTTTTGAAACTTTTTCATTCTTTTGTAGACCACATTATTTCTAGCTATTTAACTGTTCGAATTAAGGCATAAGATTTCTTCTTTTTCATGGAAAACTCAATCTTTTCAAGCATCAACACGAATTGAACGCAGACAATGGAATTGATTGAAGACTATTTTATCTGAGCTCCACGAAATTTAGACAAAATATTGATCATTTTAACGTGCATATAAAAAAAAGACTAGAGCCTAGATGAGAGCAGAGTAAAGTTGCTGATGAGCCTTGGAATATCTCTTTCATGCAAATAACTCATTGGAAATCATCAATATGGCTTCAACACACCGTTTGTTTCTCATGATTTAATGTTTGATGATAGCATGTGTTTCACAGATTACATCAGAGAAAGAGTGGGAAATCAACGCAAAAAGGGCGAATTCAAATATCTAGCAATTCTATAATCTTTCATCTCAGGCAATCCAAGATGTGGTGGAGTTGTTATCCGTATCATATTATTGTTGCATACCTCAGCACTCTGAATATTTGTAAGAAGAAACAATAGGATGAAATAACAGAGATCAAATTTCCACGGGAACCATGATTTTGCATTGATTGAAACCACCGAAAAAATTGAAATACCACCGAATGTGCAACCAATCCAATTGCCAGGGAATGCGGACTTATCCCAATGAGTACTCTTCTCCAGTGGTTTTGGCGATATGAAGATATAAGATTTGTAAGTTGATGTCTTATAATCGTGATCCGTAGTAATGTTTTTTGCTCTTATTTCTGTGTTATCAATGGAATTAATACTTTTAGCGTCCTTAGCACATCCAAGAAACGATTCACCGTGGAGAACATTTGAAATAGCATCAAACTTCAATTTTACCGATGAGCAAATGTAAAGCCATTTACCGCTGTCCTCGAATGAAAAATTTTATAACGATTTTATTTGCGCAAAAAATGTTGAAGGATTCCGGATATAGACAACCCATTGGTGCAATATCATTTATGGCAATGCCTCTTGGAATCTTTTAGCTCTAAAGATGACCCAAACGCATACAAAATATTGTATGCACACAAAAAGTGGTTCCAAACTCAGCTTTGCCAGAAACAACCCGTTGAATCTAATCGAATTTAAAATTCATTTGTCCTTTTCAATCAAATTTCCGAAGTGATTCTATGCGAATATCTCGTTAAATAGAACAAATCCTATGATAGGATTCCTATGAAGCCATTGTTTTATACTTTTAACGATAAAGATAAGCTGAACAGGAGCAACAAAGTTTCAATTTTGCATTCATTTAAAAAAATCTTTCTCCGTTGTAATCAATTCTGAAAGCACTGATTAGCCTAAATTATATTAAATTGAATCGAATTTTATTAAAGACCAAATACTACGAAAAATTGTCTCATTTGAATCGATTATGGTATTCAACATTATGTTTGTTTAGGTTATAATCGCTTTTGAGTTGAGTGAAAATTTCGATCTGTCAAAATGAATTATGTTCGCCCGCCCAATATTCACTCACACAACAATCAAATACACAGCACTCACAAAATTTTTCAATGTTTACATAAATATTGACATTCAAGAACACTTATACAATTGTGACTGAAAACGATATCATCGGCACATTTATTCAGATCACATCAACCGTCGCAGTCACAGCATCAACTATAACCACATTGTCACCGAAAACGTTAACATTTCGTGAGTCTCTCATTTATTGCGAGTATTTGAATCGAATCGTCGATAGAAAATTGTCAACCTCGTTGGATAAGAACCAACTGCGCAAAAGAAAACATACATTTTGAAGTGTTTTTATCTAAAGTAAGTATTATGTGTTTGAATGGCAGCGCAATTGAAATTTTATTTGAAAAAACACACAAACAACGATCAAGTCAATGCAAGCAATCGATGATTTTTTTTATTTGACAATTGGATTGGTTTATCAATGAGTTTTTGCTATTAATAGTGAGTAACAAGTAGATTAACTTTAGTAATCAGAAGAAAAAGTAATCGAAAGGTTGACATAATTGGTAAAACGACGTTTAGTCATACACAGCAACTAGTTGCGTTTACCGAAATGCTCAAATCAACATGGACATTTTGATTTGTATGCGATTTGGAATCCTCAATAAAATATCGGCTGTAAAAATGTTCGATTTAGATTCAATATTTATTGTGTTTATCCATTATTATTCGTTCGGTGTGTGTTTTTTGCGTCGGCTGATGTTTCGACGTGGATTTGTGTTTGAATATTCTCGTTTGAGTATCTAACGCTGAAAAATGGTTACGAGTACGCCATTTTGTGGATACCCGACATTCGTTGATTTTAGTTGTTTGTGTATTCGTGTATAGCACATAGTGCCGTGTTATGCTGTGTCAATTGCATGAAATGACATTTATTTTGAGTTTACACAATTTTTTTCACTTCATATGAAAATTCGCTTTTCTGTTGCTCTAAACTAATTGATTTTTCTTCTATCTCTGTACCAAAAAGGATGCCGTCTGCCCCACCAAGCCATTTTTCACTCCCATCTCTACAAGACGTGGAAAGCATGGAATCGCCCGTGTATCGCATAGGAGCTATCCTGGAAAGATTTCGGCGCAGGGTGGAATCGTTGCTGGCTATGGTGGAAAAGTTTCGTTCTCAGATAGAACAGCGTCAGATTAAGTTTCGATCGGCCAATGCCAAAGATTGTAACATAAGGGCTGAAGCAGCACTCCAAAAATTGGATGAGCTGACGCAACCAATGTCATCGGTGTGGCAGAATCTACTCGAGGTATTTAAACGCTTGAAAGCAAATGTCAGAAGGTGTGAAGTAGATGAACTCTTCAGACGCCAGGATGAGTTCGAATTGCTGATATTGGGCGTGAGTGAAGCCACCGACCGCTTCATGGATTGGTTTAGAGATGAAGGAGCTACCATTGGTAAATTTTATTGGCATACTTGTCCAAATTTAATTAAAAACTGAAATCATTTCGATTACAAACCTGACAATGGATTTGCTTTTTTTTAGATGTTTGTGAAGAAGTTGAAGTATCGAACGATCGCCCAGAACCACATCCAAATGAATAACACACATCCAGGCACATTTAATTCGCCTCTCTCTCCTTCTCTATGGGTCAAGGATCTTTTTTAAGTTTACCGTCAGAATATCTCCATTAATTAAATTGTTAGTTGATTTGATTCCGTGAAACATTGACGATCTGCATCAGCTGCAGTAGAAACACTCAAATGTTGTTCTCCGCATTTTAAATGGTCAAAAATCAAGGAACATTGTAAAGCTTATCATCCTAAAATTATGTACTTTAGTGTTGTCGAATTGGATATTCATTATTCATACCGATTTGGATTAGATTCCCACAATAAAACGACACATTTTAACCAAAAATCATGTTTTAAAACCGACGGAATAAATCCAACCGAATTATAAGAGAATTCAAAATGTTTTGATTTGTTTTGTTTAATCAAGACAGTATTTTGTCATTTCCAATGGCAAATATAAACTTAAAACGGGCAACACCGTATAAATTGTGCATCAAATTTTTGAATCAGTTCCAATTGTAGTAACTGATGTCAAATTTGTAAGTGAAGCCATCTAAATCAAAGCCGTAATTGAATCAAACTTTATTAAAAACCAAACTCAACTAAAAAACACGTGTTTCAATCAATTCCCAGTCTCATTCAAGTATTTTCTATTCTTGAGTATAGCACCAATTAAATGAGAGGAATAAGGGCTTTTGACGGTGAGTTTAAATGTTTGAATATTACGTCTGTTTGTCCAGGATGGGATGGAGCTGTTGCAAGTGAATGGCACATTTGTCTATATAGAATTTATACGATTAGACATTGGACTTTTCAAGATGAAATATTGACATTTAGCTGAATCTTGGTTTAAACAACAATTTTGTACATGTGAGGAAAAAAAATCCGTTTTGTGCTATCAAAAAATGCTATTTTTCTATGACAGTGTGAAAATAATTAGATAAGCACGGGGCCATGCCTTATAAGACTCCTTTCGCTTTGCGAACGATTCACATTCAAGTTTAAATCGTCTTTGGTGTTGAGTTTGTACTTGAATCCGTCAATATAAATCTGTTTGTGTTCACTGTTGTATGTTTGACAATTGCGTGTGTGTGTGGCCAGAAGAAGGGTGAGGCATTGATGCCAAAGAAGATGAATTCAAGTATCAGGTGCCAGCAAATCCACAGTGCGGCGGTGCCATTCTCAATGAGTGATACGTTTTGAGCAGTGCCTACTGTACATACCAATATATTAGCAAACTCAACAAATTGGTTGCATAAGTGTGTACAAGAAGCAGCAAATGATAGCGATCGCTGGAATTAAAATTTAAGAATAAACATCATGGTCTTGCGTCGCTACGAACAACGGAAAAAATTGCATACTCTGCTAATATTCAACCCATTAATTTACCAACGAGCGCTGATGTACACGATGGAACACTTGTGTCAAGCGGTATCATAAATCAATTTAATATTATTAAATTATTAATGAAATATAATTTTAGCATCCTCAACACATTATGGAGACGGTTCATCGTGTAGATAACTTACAATATCACAAAACCTCAGTTATACCAATGGATCAATGTAAAACTATATACGGTTACTCGGACAAATATCTTAGAACCGATTTTATGTTGAAGGATTCACTTTTAGTTACGGAGATGAGTGTAATCCATTAGTGGCTGACGATGTTGTGTATGTCATTGCCTCGTAGACAGCAGGAGCGGAAAAATATCCAAAGGTTTACACCAAGGTTTTCTCACACACAAAATGGATTGAAGACAATTGTTAATCAATAGAAATTGAAAATTGAATACAATTCATCAATTTGCTCGATACTTTACGACAAATTGTTAATGAGTCTTTTGAAAATATACAGAAAATAAAACATATTTTGCACAAATGAAGTTCGTTCTGAAATAATTTTTCCACTTCAGAATGTCTGTGAAAAAATCTTATGAATTGAAATCATTTCCAAATGGTATTTAATCATTTTATGGAGTGATAAAAACAACAAATCACGAAAAAAAAGTCAATCATTTACTGATAGATAACCTATCTATTTCCAAAAACAAATTCATATTTTTTTGACATCTTCGATAAATAATTCTTCGGATATGACTACAGCTATCAATTAAAAAATCTTCTACGAAAATAGACACGCAGCAAAAAATATAATAAACAAGACTTTTTTTTATAATTACTGTCTTTACTTTTTCACACAAATTAATTTATCCATGCAAGACAATGATGTCCATACTAGATTTCGAGTCGAAATTGTATTCAACCTAACTCTAAATAAGCAAAGTCCACAACCAAAACAATACTCAGTTTGAAGATTTCGAAAGCGAATTGGATGACGATTTTTGAATGGACGAAAGCACAAGATCAAATTGAATGAACGTAGCCATGTATGAAACAATGGCCATTGCAAACTGAAATTATATATGAAAAAACGTTAAATGTTCTACTTGTTGTAGTATTCATCACCAGGCACAGATAATGAACTTCAATAACCTCAAGCAAAAGTTGCTTGAAAAAACCACAAGAAATACGCGGATCGGAATGTTCCAATTGTTGCAGAAAATCCCTTAGCTTAAATGGATGCAGACATGGCCATGCTGATTGAAATGTGATCAGAAAAACGTTTACCTTCTGTTTGGATAGACGATCAACTGTTTTGCCCATTGCTTTATTGATGATAAATGCGGTCCGATGGCTCTAAATATCGAAAATGGAACTGAAAATAGCCAAGTCTAATAGTCTAAGAATGTACTTCTGTGTTTAGTTTCGTTCCGACAATATTGATAGTTACGAAAAATGTTATGAAGTATGTACAGATAATTAAACTGGAGACACATTCTTCCAATGTGTATCCAATATCTCTATCAGAAATAAAAATGTTGTAAAGACCATTGATTGCGTACAGTACAAAAAAAAAACATCCTACCGCCAAAAGCCATGCACTTGAAATAGAATCATATCAATTTGTATGAATTCGATGCAATTTTGAACGATGTTCAGTGGGTGAACAAACCTGATCCGAATAGACTTTGTTAACATAAACTAAAATATCGGCCAGCTTTTGATGGAGTCGTGCACAGTTGGCTATTTTTTCATTCAACGGCATGTTTTTCGTTGGTTCTCTCAGTAGTTTCTTTCGGGCGCCATCTAGCTGTGGAATTTGGAACAAATCGCTGGAAAAAGTCTTCTGTAAATGCTTAATGATCTGAGATATCGATTGGTTCTTTGAAACGTATCAACTATTTTAATTACCATAAATGGTCGTTAATGAATCGATATCAAATGAGAATGTGGTGAGAATAAAAAGTATACATGACAACACAGGGAGTGCCGGGAGTCAATTTGAAGGGGGATTGCATAACAGATGTCAAAATAATGAATATCAACAAAGTAATACAATACGAACTCCATTCTTCCCCATCTGTCAATTGAAACGGAATTTTGTTCTCTCAATACTAATCTCAAGTTTCAATTATCGATTGAAATGATTCTTACCACAAAATCAAAGTCACACAAACTGCGAATGATGAACCAAATACTAGATCGAGTTAGCAAATGATACCATGCATTTGATATGATCCCAAAAGCTGCAGTGTAATATAACATTCTAAGCATCATTTGTGGAAATGCGAATGGTTGCGCGTCCGATTCAACGGTTAAAATGTACACATTGACAGCCACAAATGAAATGAAGACGACAAATTGAGCGCACAAAACTTTAACATCAAACGATGTCACTCGTATCTTCGATTTCGCGGATCGGTTTGGTGGTAGTGTAAAATTATTCAATCCGAAAAAACGGAAAAATGTGAACAGTGGCCGAACACAACGCAAGAAACTGTCGGAGTTACTCATTCTAATGGAATGAGAAGCAAAATATGTTGCTAGCGGCTTTTTTATGAATCGTAATTCTATCTAAAAAATGAAACTTCGGAAATAACTTGGAAATTAAGCGATTGAATGAAGATAATCGAGTCTAATCGAGAGGAATTAATATCACAGATGAAATTAGGAGATCGAAATGATTCACGAAATATTAATTAAATCGAGTGATTATTAAGTGGGGCATTAGTTTTCTGTACATAATAAACAATGGAATAGGCAGCTGCGTCGTATTGAATTAATGTGGCCATGTATGATACAATCGCTCCAACTCCCTAAAATAATAAACGATAATCTCATTTTCGATGGTTTGATTGACATTATCAGCGAACTCCAATAAGTAGATCCATATTAATGTGAAAACGACCGCAGGACAAATGGGGATCTGAGTGCTCTAATTGCTGTAAAAATTGCTGCAACTGAATTTTATCTTGAGAAAAAATGGCTTGTCCGATATTTAAGAAATTTATTTTTCATTTCTTCAACTTTTCGTCTTCTTTTTTACCTCTGCCATGATACCAGCATATTTGCAGCATTTGCTGATGGCTTTAGTTACGATGCATGCAGTTTTATGACTCTTTGAAAATAGAATTGTATTTTTGGATGAATTAAGAAATGATCGTATTATTCAAACCGATGTTTTCACATTCACACACTTCACTGTTGATCCAAGATCCATATACTACAGTTATTGAAAAGAAGTAAAAGTGATAAATGGCAAACATTGACTGAAGCAATAAGTATGTTTCGTTGAAGTCAGTAGGTCGATTGGAAAGAAAATAGCCGTACGCTTCGTAAAGTGAAATGAGAACGATGCCAAACGTTTTAAAGCTGAACTGCATAAACTAGAAATTATTGACGTAAAAACTGTAGTCGAGTGCGTAATTAAATTATACCCTTATCAGAAAAAATATTGAATAGTTGTTCATTTTAGGACATTTTGAATGGATTTTTGTATGTATTGTGATTGGAATTCCAACAGTACAATACATATACCCGGGTGAACGCGATAGACTTTGATGAAAGCCTACATTCGTTCGATGAGGCTTTCATAATTTTTATGTATATTTTAAATACTGAACGCCTAGGCTTTCGTTGCTATTCTCACCCGTGTGTCACACTCACACTAACTCACTGCATCGGCTTTGAGCTGAGCTATGTACGTTTCACATACAACTGAACGCATAGGCGTTCATTGCCACGAATGCACGAAAGAAGTGAGAATAGCAATGAAAGCCTTGGCGTTGAGTATTTAAAATGTACATAAAAATTATGAAAGCCGCATCGAACGAATGTAGGCTTTCATCAAAGCCTATCGCGTTCACCCGTGTAGTCAAAATGTCCCAAAAATCATTTTCTAAACCTGAAACGAATAGCAAAAATTTATTTGCTCAACAATATCGGAGAGCTTCTGATGCAGCCGCGCTGTGTTTCTAATGAGCTGATCGAGTTGAATTAGTTTTGGCTTGTTTGTGACTTTGGCTAACCATTCAGACTTCAATCGTCCATCTATTCTTGGGATATTGAAAGCGACTCTCAGGAAGGAAACAAGAAGGAAATTAAACAAAAATCAATCGTTAGGTTTTGAAGTCAATTTAAGGTGTAACTGAATATTGCCCATTGATTACCGTAGATTTTCATTGAGATAAGTGTATCGCATATAAACCTGATACGAAAAGACGATCAGAACAACGGCTTCAGCAAAACTGTTTGCGTAGAACAA